TCTGCATGCCGATACATAGTGTGGATGAAGTGGAGTATCAGATCAGATTCTTGACTACCCGAAAAAAAATAAAAAGAGTATTAGATCAGATGAAAGTTCTATTCTGAAACTCAATCAGCTATGTTCTGCTCAAAACTTGGAATGGGTATGCTTTATAAATACAACATTTTTATAGCAATACTTATTTTTTTGGAATATCAATCATAATTGTCGGCTCGAGTATCCCCACAGCATGAAAAATAAAAATAAAATGGACTAGCTCTCCCTGGGCCTATAATGCAAATTACGACTGGGCTCGGTTGACATGTTTTTACAAGGGCCTAGAAAATTGGAGTTCCTCATTGGGCCTTTAGTGTTGATCTAAGAACAAGTCAGTCCACTGAAAATTATAAATGAAACTAAAAAAGTGAGAAAATTAAAAAATTAGAGAAAAAAAAGTTATAGCAAAATTGGGGTAAATTTTTTCAACAAGTTTGAAAGGAAAAAAAAAATAGTTAAAGTATCTAATTCAGAATCCTCATGAGCATAAAAACATAATTAAAAAGGAAAGAATTGTGACTAAAAAAAGTAAGGGGACGTTTGGTATAGAAGATATTTTTTTTACCTGGAGAAAAAAGATTTCTGAGAATATGGTGATAAATTATTTAGTCCGGAAAGTAACGAAAAGTTGTTTGGTAGGCAAAAATTTTACCGGAAAATTTTTGTTAATTTTACTGATGGTACATTTGGTTGATTGCAAAATATTGAAGGGAATATTAACATAAATTACCAATTTACCCATAATTTTTTAATATTGTAGACATTCATTTTAGCTCTGTGTACATGTACTCACTTTCTTCTCTGATCTTCTCTCTCTGTGTCTTTAATTTCCCACAGTTTAATTTTTGATGTTGTGGGTAATGCATGCAACACCAATTAACATGGTAGGGTGTGTGACTAATGTGTGAGTAATAGTGGTTTAAGTGTTTGTGGAAAACATTACACTAGAAAATGGAGGCTTGATTTCATGCATGTTGTAAATGGCATTCGATGTTATAAAATGGAATGTGAATATTTTGAAATCTGAATGCTCAACGCGTAGATGTGCAGACGAAGACGACAAAGCTTTCTCTTCTATGCGATGTCTACTTACACATTTGTAGATATATTACAAGAGGATATTTTTGTCTCAAATCATTAAAACCAGATTCTGATTTCATGGATAAAAAAAATACCATGTGTTGTAGGGTATAATTTTTTAGTTGTGTTTAGTACAAAACTTGAATGACCGGTAACTTTTTTTCCTTGGCTTTTTTTAGGTTTCCTTATACCAAACATAGCTAAAAAATATTCTCCATCCACTTTTCCATCATTCCAAAAACAATACTCATACCAAACACTCCCTAAAAGTAAAAATATATTGAAGCAACTTCTGAAGTTCTCGTAATCAACTTTGGGTTGACAGGAATCCGAATAGAATATTTTTGGGATGAACATATTTAGGGGGGAGGGGAGGTTGCATGCTACAAGCCTAGGATTTTATTATCTATACGATGTTCGATTCAACCAGTTAAGCAACCATCATTGCCTACTTGATTGAACCCATTTATGGATAATTTTTCCACTTTCATTTATGGATTAGAGACCGGAAAGATTGACCGGTAATGCATTCTATTGTTTTTTGGATGACTATTTAGGATAGGGAAAAAGAAGTATCTTTTAAAAGGATATAAGCTTCTATTTTTTTAGGTGATTTATACAAAGTCTGATTGGTCAGATTTTGTGTAAATCTGGAAAGATGCTTTTTTTTTCTTTCTCCCCGGTTACATCACTACAGTGTAAAGTTAAAAAAAGTAATTTTTCAGATTTACACAAAGTCTGACCAGTCAGACTTTGTGTAAATCACTAAAAGGACATAACTTGTGTCATTTTAAAGGACTTAACCCTTTAGGATATAACCAAATTCCTATATCTCTAGCAGACTAAGATAAAACAAATTTCACTTGCCCTTATCGGTATTTGTTAGAGAAGTATATAAACTATTGATGGATTTTCACGTAACAACTTAAGCTTTTAAGTGAATTGGTTCTTTATAGGGTTGGTAAAACGGGCAAACCCGGTCCAACCCGCATGCAATTCGAAAAAAACGAGCCGGGTTAGGGTTGGCTAAAAAACAAAGACGAGTCAGAAAATCCAACCCGACCCGAGTTGGGTTAGGGTTGGCTCAAAAATATGGCTCGTGGGTTGGTTTGAAAAAATAGCTCTTGGCTCGAAAATTGCGCCCTGGTTGGGTCGTTTTTAGCCTATTTAAATGAACATGTAGTATTAATGCACCAGCTATGTGGTTTCCATCAGCTTAAACAAAGGGTTACAAAATGAGAAATAAAAGTAAAATATTCTAGTTTCGAATTTTCTTTACAACAGATTTGCACCAATATCAAGAAACAATCAGAACCACTTGTTACTAAGTGGGTAAGATATTTGAACCGAACAGAGCCATCAGCCAACACAACCTAATAATATAAAAATGTCAGGGATATGAGAAGATCAGTGACTTACGTTTAGAGAAGGAAGAAAGGTGATGACAACATGGGTGAATTTTGTTCATTTTTGTATATTATATTTTGTATTTTTTTATATATATAAAAAATTCAACCCCCGAGCTGGCCGTTTTTTCCTGAGCTGGCTCAGGTCGGGTTGGCAGTTCATTTTTGCCAACCCAACCCGACTCATTTTGGGCGGGTTGGCTCGTTTTTTGCCAACCCTAGTTCTTTACATGCATTGTCCACCCTTTGAGCTCAATGAGCTCTCATGTGAGGAAGCATATTAGAAATATATAATATAAATCATTAATGTAATATCATCTAATAGTTTAAACTTTTGAGTTGAATTGGTTATTTATAGTATTCATATTTTGTTAGGACATGTAGTTGCAAAACCGTTGTGTAAATTGTTGGTAAAGGATGAAGAATTTAAGCTTGATGGTAATTGAGTAAATATTATATTTGATTTTTAGAATTGAATGTCTAATGAGCATAGGGAAAATCAAGATGAGTTTGATGCTTCTTTTATCCCCAAGGGCAATTTCTTTCGAAGTCAAATTGTTATGGTGGTTGGTTTCATAATTTTTTTTAAAAAAACATTGGACAGACACAAAGGAAAAGAGAAATTTAAAATGAAGGATAAATAATAAATACATGTTTTTATGTAAACCGTATCGAATAGACGAATAGTGATATTGAAGATTTGAACTTATGGCTAAGTAGACCTGGACTTCAAAATTTGTCCAAGCCCCAAGTTTGGTTTTCAGCAAAACTAATAATCCAAAACTTAAGCTTGATGCTATCATCGTTTGAATAGGAAAAGAGAATCTGTAGTGTTGGAGTCCTGGTACGTTACATCATGAGTAAATGTTTGATATTAATTCTCCAAAGAAATATCAATCATTAGGTTAGTTCTCCACTTATAAATAAATAAATGTCAATATTATAATTAAATGTCAATATTATTCCATCAAATTAGTCCTTAAAGTCAATGGTGTCAGCTAACCCAATAAGTCAATAGGTAAAGTTTTTTTTTTAAAGTATATACAAGGATAACAACTCGGTGACCTTACTAACGCATATGCTAGAGGAAATGTAGAATATGTTCTTGTGCGGGTTAATGAATTGCTATTCCTAGCTGACTTCATACGCTTTTTCACTTTTTTACCTTTTATTAATTAATTAATAACTATTTTGTCCCTGATTCGAAATTATTTATCAATCTGCTCCTCTTTAGTCGACTACCTTGCATTTTTAATCGACTAAATGACCAAAACAGACAAAAAATGGCTGCTGGGAGATTTAGTCGACTAAATCTCCCTATTTAGTCGACTAAATCTTCATATTTTACAAAAAAAAAAATAAGTCAGTATGATTTTAATCGATTAAGTAGAGAGATTTAGTCGATTAAATCTCCCAACAACCGTTTAGTCGATTAAAAATGCAAGGTAGTCGATTAAAGAGGGGCAGATTGGTAGATAGTTTCGAATCAGGGGCAAAATGGTTATTAATTAATTAATAAGGGGCAAAAGGGTGAAAAAGCCTGACTTCATAAATGTTAAGGGAATCTTTGACACCGGAGAATTTTTTTTTTTTACCAATGAATTATAATTATTGAAAATATGGTGGAAAAATGAGTTTTTTGGGAAGTTAAAAAAAATTATTTGATAGGTCAAATTATTAATGGAAAAATTAGTTTATGTTTGGTTGAAGAAAAAATATTGTTAGAAAAAATGAAGTGAAATTACGAAAGCAATCTTTAATTAAATAATATTGCACAGTACATGAATAGGATTAGAAGATGGTCATTTTCGTCATTTACTTTGAGCTTCTTTTTTCATTTTTAGGATAATTTCAAAATAGCACATGTGAAGTGGTATTTTAAGACTGTTTTTCATCACAATTTTCAAAGAAACTAGAAATCATGGGCAAATGGTGAATTTTTAAAAAATTTGTACCAAACATGAACAACTTGGAATACTATTCCGAAGTGCTTGAGAGTGGAAGGCGATACAAAGATCAATCCTATTCCAATTTTGTTGGGAATATCATTGCTCAAAACATCCTGCACTTAAATGGAAGGTGAAAATGAATATGATGTAAATGAAGGTGGTGAAAATGTGAAAGTCCATGAGGTATAGAGATGGAAGGTGTGATTAGTAAATGTGATGAAGTTTGCGTAGATTCTCATACTACTGAACTTGGGGATGACAGTGACATTTTGATTGACATTTGGCTCTTCGATATCTGCAAGGACTATATAAATACATCACCTGCCTTGTGATCTTTCAATGCTAGCAAGGTAACACACTATCTAGTTGATTTATTCTGTAAGAGCCAAGTTTGTGTTTCTTGCATCGTGATCAATATCATAAATGTTTCTTCTTTATTTTGAAGGTACAAAAATTGACCGACCTGAAGAACTTTCCCTTGCATCATCCTCTTTTGATTGAGTTCTTATCTAAGATTTCAGATACCATGGACGAGAATGGTAGCTCAAAAAATGCACCCAAGAACAAGTGGAACTTGCCTCTCACAGTTTTCTTCAAAGATGCAAGGTACCTATACGTTATTATTTGATCAGTGTTTATTTGGAGAAGCAATGCCATATATCATATATGCTTACTAAAAATATATAACGTGACATATTATACCATAAACTAAATATTTGGTTCAATTAATGTGAATGTAGACTTGTTTTCAAGATGGATTCCCTTGCTAAGGAGATACTAGGGATTGCATTCCCCGCTGCACTGGCTGTTGCTGCTGATCCCCTTGCTTCCTTGATAGACACAGCATTCATGGGCCACTTGGGTACTTTTCCTTGTCATTATAATGCTTGCACAAAAGAAACACACACATGTAATTTACAATTGTCATGGTTTTCTGCTTTGGCTTCACCAATTGTTCCTTCATACTGAGTGATGCTAGTTGCAAGCTGTAATTGTAACATGAATCATTTTAGTACTCTAGCTTTTTAAGCTCACTTTTAATTTTTCATTTGTATAGCGCCGGAGGAACTTGCTGCTGCAGGAGTTTCCATTGCCTTGTTCAACCAAGCTTCAAAGATTACCATATTCCCTTTGGTCAGTATTACAACTTCCTTTGTAGCTGAGGAAGATACTATTGAAAAAATCAATACCACAGCAGCGGAAAAACAGTTCAATGAAAACATCAAGGGCAAATCAAATGAAGTAATGCCGGATGATCATTTGCTTCAAGACATAGAAAAATGTGCATCCAAAGAGAATAATAAGACTCCAACAGAATCTTTTGCTGCTAATGGTGATAGAAACGATCTCATGCCAAAAAGATTTGTACCTGAGAATATGGAAACGAATGGCACATTGAAAAATGAGACAAATAATGAAGATGGTACTTTCTCTCTGTCCCTTTCTGGCTTTCTGTCTATACATGTCCGTGTTGTTACGAAAATTTTCTAACTCATGACCACATACTTAAGGGTAGGATATCCATTGTGATCAACCTTAGATATCATGTCATTGATATATGAGTTGAGGGAAATGAATGCATTGAAAGTTTGGTTGTCCTAATATTTTAATTCAATAACAATTGATTTCCTTATCAGATGCCGATAGAAATATATGCAAGTCTTACTCTGTTACTGGTAGTGATAATAAGAGAGGGATGAAAGCTAGAACGAAGAAGCGACACATTGCTTCAGCATCGACAGCACTACTTTTTGGCACAATACTTGGCTTCCTTCAAGCTGCTACCCTTATATTTGCAACCAAACCTTTATTAAGTGCGATGGGTCTTAAACATGTAGGTATCTCATTATACAGAGTATATGTCACATAATTTGCTTATATAGAATACATTTGTCTAAGTTTTTACCAAGTGGAGCTATTTTTCCTTTGTGTAGGGTTCTCCTATGCTAATCCCAGCAGTCAAGTACTTGAGATTGAGATCCTTAGGTGCTCCTGCAATGCTTCTCTCCGTGGCCATGCAAGGAATCTTTCGAGGGTTCAAGGACACAACAACTCCTTTATATGTTATTGGTTGGTTAAAATGATCCATTGTCTTAGAATAATGCCTAATTAGAGATACATTGTGAGAGCATAAAAAAGCCATAAATTTAAGCTTGCAAGTCAGATTTAGTGGAGTTATACATAAAAATGTGAATTGGTTTCAACTGTTTAATTGAACTTGCGAAAAAAAATAAAAAACAGATGGAACTCCAAATAAGAAGTAATGGGAGGCCTTTTGTTTTCAAATTCACCAACATTTTCCCTAACTTGGTTTGTTTGTGTATATGGTTTTATTTAGTTTCGGGGTATGCATTGAATATCGCTTTGGACCCAATACTCATTTTTTACTGCAAATTGGGCATTAGAGGTGCAGCCATTTCACATGTGCTTTCTCAGTAAGTCTTACTCTTTTATGTCCTAATAATGTTCAAACGTTTTTGTTTTTAAAACTTTTACTTACAAGATGATGATCCTTTTAGGTACATGATGGCATTTTCCCTCTTATTGATATTAGTGAAAAAAGTGGATCTCCTATCTCCAAGCGTTAAGGATTTGCAGATTGTCAGGTTTCTTAAATACGGTATAGTGGAGGAGCATTTAACAAGACATCTTAGTTACCTATATTATTATCGAAATCTAACTCTCCTTTATTAAAAATAAAAAATAGAAAAGAGAGATAAAAATGGTCATCTAGACTGTACTCAAATAGAAGCATAGTTAGTAATCAAACATATGTTGATCCTATATTATGGTAGATTTTATTTATGCTGGAATTTATTTTCAATTTCAATAGGAAGTCTGCTATTGGCCAAAGTATTAGCAGTGACATTCTGTGTGACCTTAGCAGCATCATTGGCAGCAAGGTTAGGTTCAATTCCTATGGCTGCATTCCAAACCTGCCTACAGGTCTGGTTGACATCATCCCTTCTTGCTGATGGTTTGGCTGTTGCTGTTCAGGTACAAAAACATTTTTTCTTCTCAAACTATTTGTTCTAAAGGGGGCAAACCGGAGCAGTGGTAAAACTGTTCTTTCATGACTGAAAGGTCATGGGTTCGAATCCAGGAAACAGTCTCTTTGCAATTATGTCAGGGTAAGGCTGCGTACAAAGATTGCCTTCACCCCGACTCGCTAGTCGGGTTAAATGAGTAGTGGTTTTTAAACTATTTGTTCTAAAAATTTCAAATGAGTATTACTGATAAGTTTTCCTGGCACACAGGCTATTCTAGCATGTTCCTTTGCTGAGAAAGACTATGACAAAGTGACTGCTACTGCAACAAGGACACTACAGATGGGTTTTGTTTTAGGAGTGGGGCTCTCTCTAGTTGGAGTTGGATTGTACTTTGGAGCTGGACTATTCTCCAAAAGTGTTCTTGTTGTGCACATTATCAGAATAGGTGTCCCGGTATATTATATTCCTTGAACTTCGTGTGGATTCAATAATGTTTTATGTGTGATTATCAACTAATTTTATATATCCCACTAGTTTGTTGCTGCTACACAACCAATCAATACATTAGCTTTCGTCTTCGATGGTGTGAACTATGGGGCATCTGATTTTGCTTATTCTGCTTACTCCTTGGCAAGTTCGCATGCCTTTTTTTCCTCTCTTGTTTTTTTCTTCATCATGTATAATATCTATCCAAATTTTTTTAGTAATTTCCTACGCTCTTTCTTTCAGGTGTTGGTGTCAATAGCAACTATTGCTTCATTATTTCTTCTTTACCAGAGAAAAGGTTACATTGGGATATGGATTGGACTAAGCATATATATGACTCTTCGCATGCTTGCTGGTGTATGGAGGTAATGTTTCCTCATGTTAAAAGCAAGCAACTACTTTGAAAACTGAACTTGGAAAACATTTCTTAACGAGATATTCTTATAATCATTTATGGTCCTTTTGGTTCAAAGATTTTATGATTCTATCTTCCATGGTTTACAAGCAAGTTAAATGCATATGCAGGATGGGAACAGGAACAGGACCTTGGCGTTTTCTCAGAGACCGCTCATTGCCTTGATGACATCTAACAAAGAAAATTTCATTGTTGAGCAGTGCATGTTGTGTAGCACTCTTCGTCATTTAGGATCAATTCTCTTTTTTAAGACGTGATTACTTCTCACTACTGTAGTCAATCTTATATCTTGAACTGCTCCATATAGCAGAGTCTTTGTTTTCAATAATTGAAAACAGATTTCTGGTTTCAAAAATTAAAATACAAAAGAAAACTTGTTTAGTTATTTATTTTTTTGGCTTGTCATAATTTATACATATATTAGTTTATTATGGAAATTAACATCATTTTGATACAACTGATTGAATATTTGTCTTTCTTATGATGAACAAAACTTTGATTTTAAATTTCTTTCTTTGAAGTGCACAAAAGTATAATTCAAGTCATGTCAATATATTTACAATTTTATAATCTATAAAAGCCCTATAGTATTTACTAGGTTTTAATTTCTTGAAAAATATCCAATCAGAAAAATTTGCATATTCAAGGATAAAAAGAAATTCAATTCTAAAATATACAATCATGTCTAATAAAAAAATTTTGGTTGTACACCAAACTGAAGTAAATAAATTAGAATTATATAAATTTTAAACAGCAAATTTCAAACTTACTTGTTAAATACATCATTATTGATCCCGAAGAATTGTTGTGCTTACTTGAAAATCCCCAAATACTTGAAAGGCTAGGGTTTCCTCTGTATGTAATAAGCCATGAATTCGCATTCATTAATGGCCCTGGATGTGATAAGCTATGAAACAATTGGGCCTCATTTTGTGAATGCTTAGGGTTAAGACATACAACGCTACTCACACTAACCATTATTACACACGCGCGCACACACATATATATAATTCGAAATAAAAAATCACGTAAATTAAGTGGACTTCCATAATATATCACACGTAGAAAAAGTATAATTAATTATTGGTCAGGATTATTTTACACCAGTGTAAGTTACACTCTCAATCTTGTCCGTTGATCCCACTTATATCTAAAGGCTCAAATTTTTTAATAACGTGAGCCATTGGATACAAGTGGATCAATGGTCAAGATTGAGTGTAAGACTTGTAACTCTTACACCGGTGTAAGAATATCCTGCCCCATTAATTATAACCCACAGAATTATTAAAAAAACATTTACGAATAGATGCTAGTACACTTTTGTCCTTTTTCATCACCTGAGTTGACCTTAGGTTTACTTTGCCTAATCAAACGACTAAAGACACAAACTCCAGTTTTGGTATATCAGTTATTTTTTTTTTTTTAATTTAAAAAAACAAGTGTTGGGACTTAGATGGGACTTTTTGATCTTTTTATCCCTCATTAATTAATTAATAATTATTTTGTCCTTTACTCAGAACTATCTACCAACATGTCCCTCTTTAATCGATTAACTTGAATATTTAATCGATTAAATGGTAAAAATAGGCAAAAATGATTGACTCAAGATTTAATCGATTAAATCTTCCTCTTTAATCGATTAACTTGAATATTTAATCAATTAAAACTTATATTTAATCAAGTAAATATTCCAAATGAACATGAAAGCATTGATTGAATGAGACAAACAAGGAAAACTCGCTACGTTCAAAGGGGATGATTAAGGTTTAGTTTATTATAATGATTAAGTTTTGACTGTCCCAAATGTTCGTTTGAAATCTGTCTTACTTGCTGAGAAGAAATACGAAATGGAAGTACTAGCAACCATTTAGGTATAGATGCTAGTACACTTTTGTCCTTTTTCATCACCTGAGTTGACCTTAGGTTTACTTTGCCTAATCAAACGACTAAAGCCACAAACTCTAGTTTTGGTATATCAGTTTTTTTTTTAATTTTAAAAAACAAGTGTTGGGACTTAGATGAGGCTTTTTGATCTTTTTATCCCTCATTAATTAATTAATAATTATTTTTTCCTTTACTCAGAACTATCTACCAACATGTCCCTCTTTAATCGATTGACTTGAATATTTAATCAATTAAATGGTAAAAATAGGCAAAAATGATTGACTCAAGATTTAATCGATTAAATCTTCCTCTTTAATCGATTAACTTGAATAGTTAATCGATTAAAACTTATATTTAATCAATTAAATATTCCAAATGAACATGAAAGCATTGATTGAATGAGACAAACAAGGAAAACTCGCTACGTTCAAAGGGGATAATTAAGGTTTAGTTTACTATAATGATTAAGTTTTGGCTGTCCCAAATGTTCATTTGAAATATGTCTTACTTGCTGTGAAGAAATACGAAATGGAAGTATTTCACCTCGGTCTGAACTGAAGTTTGAATATGTTAATAAGGGCAGTGAGTATATGCATGGTGTGTAACATCACCGTCTACTCAAAAATGTACATGCATCAAACTGAAAGACATGTACGAAACATATACAGGCCATATACAAGGAATGGATCAGACATCATGTTCCCAAAATAACAAAATACTGAAACAACAAAATATCCACCCAGTATCAGTAGCCTACGGCTACTCAAAAATCTGGTCCGTCACAAACCCTCTAGCCACGAGTCGTGTCCCTGCCTCTTGAGGGCTCACCGGGAATCTGAACATCTGAAATAATGTCCCCAAGAAGGGGTGGGATAACAAATCTCAGTAAGCTCCAAGTTTATAGAGAATTCTCCAAACCCTGGGCCCACTCCTGCATGGAGGTCAGATACATAATATACACGATATCATATAAGCAAATATCAAAATTGAACAAAGCATATACACATATCTTATCAGAGATGTACGCAGTCATTCCCAAGGGAGGGCCCTAAACGGAACTCAGCGCACGTAATAAATATCATAATAGAAGTGTACACAGACAATCCCAAGGGAGGACCCCAAGCGAAAATCAATGCATATAAACCCATTTACAAAAATCATCACAGTAATCACATCAGAACAAAACATATCATATCAAAGATGTACGTAGTCATTCCCAAGGGAGGGCCCCAAACGGAACTCAGCGCGCATGTTCCCAATAGGGGTGTTCATCAACCTATCCAAACCGATTCAAACTGCGGTGTCCGAACCGAAAATCTGATAACCGAACAAACTGAAAATCGAAAAATTGCAAACCGAAAAAAACTGCAACTTTTAATTGGATTGGATCGGTTTTCGAATTGCTTAATGAAAACCGATCCAATCCAAACCGATTCAATATATTAATTTTTCTCTACTTACTTTGGTCTTTCTCCAATCACAATCCAAAAATTTATAAACTCAAGACCCATTAACCCATCAACTAAACCTAAGAAAAAATCTAGTCACATCTCATCAACAAAGTTTCATCTGTGTAGAGCTTCATATCTCATTGTTCCCCAAAAAAAGAAACTATATTATCGTTTACTGATGCTTTTGTATTTCAATTTTTTTTTACAAAGTCAATATATATACAAAAGATGTTATCTGCATAAAATAAATTTTAGGATTTTCAAAAAACCAAAAACCGATCTAATCCAAACCGAAAAAAATTGGATTGGATCGGATCAGATTTAAAAAAAAGTCCAAACCGAATGGATGATTACATGGTCAAACCGAAGGGATTGGATCAGATGATTTTTGTTTTCAAAACCGATCCAATCCAGACCGCGAACACCCCTAGTTCCGAAGGGAGGACCCCGAGCGGAACCACACATATCAGAGGTGTACAAGGCATCACATAACCGAACAAAACATATATATACATATCTTATCAGAGATGTACGCAGTCATTCCCAAGGGAGGACTCCAAGCGGAAATCAGCGCACGTGTTCCCAAGGGAGGACCCCAAGCGAAACTCAACATATAACAAGTCAATCCCAAGGGAGGACCCCAAGCGAAAATCAGTGCATGTGTTCCCAAGGGAGGACCCTGAGTGGAACCAAACATATATCAGAGGTATACATAATCAGTCCCAAGGGAGGACCACAAGCAGACATCAGTGCACACATATAATCAATAGCCAAAGATCATTACATAAATCACATCGGAACATCACAAATCATATTATCAAATAGCTCTATATGAATGCATCTATACAAAGCATCAAATACAGTCATACAATCCAACCATAGTCCATTAACCATGGTGGAGCATTCAAGTAGGAAAAGACTCCTTAAACATAGAGCTTACCTTTTGAAGCTTTAACAATTTGCTCACTTGTAACACAAGTTACCTATTTAGCTCCAAAGGAATCCAAACGCGCTCAGTCCCTAGGCACACCTAGAGAAAGAATCCAAAACAAAACTCAATAAAATACTACAATGCCATATAGTTACAAGACATACACTTTATTATTTACTTTTGTTTCTTTACATTTATGCCAATACACAAGTCATAACCAGTTTTCTTTTTACTTAATCATATTAGGCCATGAGTGAGTGGTTCTTTATTCAACAAATCCTCACAAAATTCCACATATTCACTTAGTCTTAGGATAGTCCCAAAAGGCCTTTAGAACACTCATTACTCCTCTTAGCACATAAAAGCCTATTTTTCCCAATTTAAGGCAAAGTGCCCATTACAAAGGAGCTATAAGATTTCTCTTTGTCTAGTGCCTAAACCCAAGCTTAGCCACCTATATAATTTATTTTACGCATAAAAGTGTTCTCACTTGGCGAAACAGTAACTCCAAATGTATACCTCCTTTGAAAATGGCCCAAAATTAATTTTAAGGTTATACAAAGGAGCTACCTTATTTTCTTTTTTTATTTCACCAAAGCGAAAATTCATACACCTTAGAATATTATTCCATCATCAAATCATATGTACGGTACTGTTCATCTCTATAGTACTATTCATGTATACATCACTATTCACGTATACGACACTATTCAAAAATACGATATCTTTAATTTTCTGAATATATTTTCACCGTTAAAATTATCATCTAAACACTTTTCTCAACATGAGCTAAGCATCAATCAAGCTCTAACATGCTCATTCAAACCAAACTTTCAAAACGGAAACCTAAATTCAATATTCCTCAAAACTCAAAGAAAACTAGGATTTCTTAACATAAACTTACCTAGAACGAAGGGGAAAGCTTACTTCAAGCTCCCATGGCTTCAATCTCCATCAAAACCCCAAATTTCCATGAAATTTGAAATCTTAGGGGAAGAATATCTATCTCTAAAGTGAACCCCACCCAAAAATACTGGTACTAATGGATTCCTCTCGAAATTTCTCACAAGTTTAGCTTTGGAACATAGTGATTTGGAGGTCTCTAGCTCAAGTTATGAGCCTTGGAAGATTTAGTTACTATTCATGAACAAAAAGAAAAAGAGAGACAGAGACGCGCATGAGACGAACAGAGAAATGAAGGAGGAATAGTAATTTTCTTTAGAAATTCCACTTATATAGGTTAAGTGAAATTCAACTGGGTAAAAGTTTATCTATCTACACATCTCCATCCATTACCAAACTTTACCCATTGGACTAGAATATTTTTCTATTAATATTTCTAACTTTACTTTCACTTTTCGGGTAACTTTTCTTACCCGCATTTTTACCCTTTAACTGTCCTTTTAACTCATTTTTCATCAAAGGTGACTTTATTTCTTTTTCTTCTAAATATTCTTCAATATTAAATCCATAAATAAATGTGAGGGTCATTATATGGTGGTCATCCTCAACCAGTATATTGTGATTTAGGGACTTCAGAGGGTACTATTGAGATATATACTAATTGAAATGCTAACAGTGACGAAAGTATTAGATGTGCTCCAAAAGAAATGAGGGGTTGTGGTGACTATGTATTGGAGCTGAAGTCCATACTTCCGAATGGATGGATTTCTAAGTTGGAAGCCAAAACTTGTGAAATGCTGAAGAATTTTTGCAAAATTAAGCACAAAACTCTTCAGAAAGAAGCAATATTAAACCGCAAATCTATGATAAGAGCTGCTTTTAGAGATGACACGAATGATAATAACATATATTGTCCAGTGTCAAGTGACCTGTCAGAAGAAGGGCTATTTCTCTTCCAACAACGTTGGATTAAAGATGAACCAATCATAGTTCGGGATGTTCTTAAAGTAGAGACATGTCTGAGTTGGGAGCCAAAGGTCACTTGGCGAGCATTATGTGAAAATTTAGATTCAGGAAACAACTCAAATGCGTTAATGAATCAAGATTGGTTCTCGCTACGCAGTGAACCAACGAGTTTTCTTTGTTTGTCTCATTCAATCAATGTTTTCACACTCATTTGGGATATTTAATCGATTAAATATATATATTTTTTTGGAGTTACCCAACCCTAATTACCTCTTTGAGGCGAGTTGGCTCCCTCCGGTATCCCCACGAGCTTCGACTCTTTGAGCCAGCTATGTGACTAATCCGGAGTGCGGGGGATCAGTGATGGCTAAAGGTTCAGCCCCCTCCCCAAGAATGCATTCAGCAGGAATCGAACACATGTCCAACCCCACTAACTCAGCGCCAAGTTACCAACTGAGCTGCACCCATTGGGTTTTAATCGATTAAATATAAGTTTTAATCGATTAAATATCTCTCTTAATTGATTAAAGAGGGAGATTTAATCGTTAAATCTTGAGTTAATCATTTTTGCTTGTTTTGACCATTTAATCGATTAAAGAGGGACAGATTGGTGGATAGTTTTGAATAAGGGGCAACATAGTTATTAATTAATTAATGAAGAGTAAAAAGGTCAAAAAGCCCTTAGACGGGGTTTAGACAAATTTTAAAGTCCAAGTCTACTTCAGCTGTAAGTTCAAAAGTTCAATCTCTTGGCCGCTTTACATTTTACACAAAATTTGTGTATTATATTTATTATATATCCTTCTTTATAATTAAATTTCTCTTTTCCTTTGTCTCTCTTCAATTATCTCTCCAATGTTTTTTTTAGTATAAAACGAAACATGATAATAGTGTTACTTCGAACGAAAATGTCCTTATCTTATATTCTAAGACAAACCCATTCTTTGGCAACCCCACTGACGTGTCACTTCCACATTCAATTTCAGCTTTGCATTCACACTACACAATTTTAAAAAGTTTCCTTCTTTGGTAATTCAGGGAATAAAAAATTATAAAAGAAATTATAATCTGGACTCAAAATCGATGGACACGATTTGCTATCTCAAATCAATGGTGTAGATTTGTTCTCATTTTTATTGGCTCACAGCTCATCTCATTTTCAAATTTTAAATTTGGAGTTCAAAATTTAAATTTGAAAAACTGACAACTCAATTAATGTTCACCTACTTTTTCCATTGGAATTGTTAAACATTTAACAAAATATTCAAGCCTTCTCATTGTTCTTAGTCGTTCCCCACATTTCACATCTTCTTCTTTCTCCTGTTCTTCGTGTTATTTTTTTTTTCTAGCTTCCATATCAGTCCAAAAACACATCCTTTCTGTTCTTAGTCGTTCTTTTTTCCCCCACATTTCATATCATTCTTCGTTTTTGATTTTCTTGCTGCTGTTCGTCTTCGTTTTAAAATCTTTTTTTCTCCGTTGCGGTTTTCTTGCTACTGTCGTCATTTATTTTAAAATAGCTTAATATCAGCTACAACACACAACTTCAAAGAATCAACTTCTTCGTTCTGTCCTTGATCGTCTAACCAATATGTTTTCAAAATATGATTTTCTGAAGGATGTCAGTCCTGCCAAGGAGGACTGGAGGATTAAGGTGAAGGTGGTTCGGGCTTGGAAAGTTCCTAACTTTCAACGTAAAGATTTTGACGACAACGTTGAAATGGTTTTATTGGATGAACATGTATGTTCTTAGCGTTTTTAAAATCTTGGTTCTTGCATTTTTAAATCTACCATTTTTTTTGAGCTCGCTGTGTTTTTTTGTAGGGTGGTAGGATCCACGCCACTATCGAAGGTTCTTTGTCGGTGTGGAAGAAAATCCATGAAGGAGACTGCTATTTTATAAAAAAAATTGGAGTTGGATTCAATAACGACGTGTTCAGGCCAACTAGGCATCAGTATCGTTTGTCTTTCAATTTGAGGACTGATCTTAGATCAATTGTTGATTCTAATATTTCTGCGAGTGAATTTGATTTTGTTGATTATGACATCGTTGAGAAAGAAACATCTAACTCCCCTTATTTAGTGGGTAATATAATTGTGCTTACTGTCTTTTTCGTTTTTTAATTTTTGATTTTTGTTAACAAACTCTTTGCTGCCCTTTTTTTCTTTGTAGACGTCATTGGTTTAGTATCAGGGATTGGTGAAGTTTGTGAACGTGTGGTTTCTGGTAGGAAGACCAAAATGATTATGTTGGAGCTTGACAACCTCAGGTATTGTAAATTTAATATTTAAAAAGATTATTTTTTTTTTGGAGCTGTGTTCCCTTATATTTTTCGTGTATTACTGTACGTTTGGGCTGCAACTCATATGAAGGGGTCACAAGCTGGAGTGCACTTTGTGGGAGCACTATGTGGATGAGATCCAATCTTTTATGGCAGCCAGCGACACTCCTCATCACGTAATGATAGTCCAGCTAGGCAGGATAAAATGTTTTAGGGGTATGATTTTAACAATCTTTTTTTCCAATATGTTATTCTTTTGTGTTCTGTTTAATTCACATTTTCTTTTTGCTTTTCGGTTTTTTTTATATGCTCAACTCGATAGGTAAGTTTGGGTTAACCAATACAAAATATACAACGAGGATTGTCATGGATTAGAAGATCCCAGAGATCGTTGAGTTCAAAAAATGGTGTGTTTGTTATTCTTAAACTCATTTGACAATTTATTTAGTTAATCATTTACTGTATGTCCATTTTCTCTCTATAGTCTTTCGGCTGATGGTGTTGAGAGTAGTCTGCGGATGACTCAGTTGTCTACTCAGTCATCCTATTCTTACGAAAATGATTTTTTGAAGGAGACTGAAAAGAAGTCTATAAGTGATGTGAAGCTTTGTGGCGAGGTAAATATAGAATTTTTGTTTCTTCAAATTTATTGAATAATATCAAGTCTGTGTGAATGATTTTAATTGTTTGCCTGCGATTGCTACATTTAAGGTTACAACTTGTATCATGTATGGGACTATAAAATCTATTGAGAGCAAATACAACCGGTGGTACAAGTCTTGCAAAAAATGTCCATTTTCTGTTTTTGAGGATTTTGAAAAGTGGTACTGTAAGAACTGCCAAAAACATTGGAAAGATTACTATCCGAGGTATTGTTTTTAATCAATTTTTAAATTATGTTTAATCTGTAAGCTTAATATATTTTTTTTTTTTCTGATATACAATTTTGCAAACGCATAGATTTAGTGTTCAGGTAAGAGTTGTGGATAACACGGATTCCGTATCATTTCTTCTGTTTGATCGCGACTATGTGTCTTTGCTGGGGATGAGTGCTGCTGAATTGCGCGAGCTGCATTTCAAGAGGGTTTGTATTATTGTTGCTATGAAATATTTATAATGTATATTTTGGCGTAGAGGATTTAATGTAAGCGCTATCAATGTTGTTCTTGCTGTATATTGGATGATCGTTTTTATTTTTATTTTTTTTGTCTAAGGTGCGGATTTGGATCAATTTCCAGAAGAGTTAAGTGTTTTGAATGAGAAGTCCATGTTGTTCAAGCTAAATATCAAGCAAAAGGATTTGAACTCATACAACGAGCCCAAGTATCAAGTTTCTAAAATTTTTATAAGCGAAAACATAATCTCATCGTTCCTTAAGTCTCTTATCTCTAACGTCGATCCAAATGTATGCTGCTTCTCTATTTCTGTTGGGTATCCATTTTTACAAATTCATTTTGTTGACTATTGTTGGTTATTGTATATCACAGGATGAAGCAAATTTCGAGGATGCACGCGAAAATGAAATTGGATCATCAGAACCGGAAAAGGCTGCGGTAACACAATTTTTTTTTGAACATTTTTATGTTATGCATAAGTCCATACTTGACATACCTTCATTTTTTTTTTACCGAAATATTAATAGGATGTTGAGAGTCAGACCTGTGATAGTACTGACATTGGTGATATCTCTCTCACAATGTTGACACCAGTGATCCATTCTCATGATTCCATTGCTGGAGAATTCAATTTTTCAGCTGTTCGGACAGCCAAGAAAATAAAGCTTGAAAAAGAGTTATGTATCTTCAAATCTATATTTATAATTCAATCTTGTGGCATGTATATTTTTTTTCTTTTCGTAATATCATGTGTTGATCTGTGTGATAATGTGCTAGATCTATTTACGTCATTTGCTTATATATTTTTTTCAATGCTGATTACTGTATTTTTTTTTCCTTTTTGTGAGAGTTACATGGTGAACTGTTTAAATCATTTTGTTTATCGCGACTTAATTGAATTCAAAATGTTTTCTGATGTTTTGTTGTGTTTAGTTCAAAACAATAGATGCACGCTTATGGAAGGTATGTTGATATATTTGATAAACGCTGTGTTTTTGCAAGTGACACCTAAGTTGTTGATCTATGTCATCTTTTGTACTCACAATATGTCATGTTATGTTATCGTCAGACCTAAGTTCTTTATCTGTTACAGTTTTAATTTTTTTTAATATTTGATCATTGGAATTCAAAAAATATCTTTTTTATCCAATTTTTCCTTTCCTATTTTTAATGTAACAAAATATGTAACTTCAATCCAAATTTATGTTTCTTATGATACAATAATTGTAATAACAAAATAACCACTTTTAATTCAAAACTTTGTTTCCTATTTTAAAAATTTAAAGCTTGAATTTTTATTAAGCTTTCAAACACTGGAATTCAGGGAATAAAAATAATTGTTTATCATGTGCTATTTCTTTTTTCCTATTTTTTTCTTTTCGTAATATCATGTGTTGATTTGTGTCATAATGTGCTAAATCTCTTCTTGGTACAGGTAAAGACAAAAAAAATTGCAATGGAGTGCTTTTTTACTTATTTTCGTTACCGTTTGGTTTTTTTAATTGCTAAGTTTTTTTTCTCATGCAGGAATCATTTTTCATGCACACATGGTATATTGTTAACTGTTATTTTTGAACAAACAATATTCCATCGTCATCCATATATGGATGTATTGTTATGACACTTTTTATTTGTACTCACATGTTCGTGTGTCTTTTTTTTTTTTCATACTTTCACTTGTACATTATTACTCATTCATTCCTCAGAGGATGAAGGATAAAAAATGTAGGTTCGGCATCTTGCATGTGTTGCGTTAGTTTTTACGAGACAAACAAATCGATTTTTTTTTCCTCCGCGCAACGCGCAACGCACGGGTAATACACTAGTATATATAAGAATAAATATACAAATAGAGATAAATATATATACAAAATGATTATAGTCCTGGATACTGGATACCAAGGCACATCGTCCAAAGTGTTGGAATCCTGGTCGTTACAGCATGAATAAATGTTTGATTTTAATCCTGCAAAGATATACCAATCATTGGTTAATGAATAAATAAATAAATAAACAAATGTCAATAATATTCCATCAAATTAGCCCTTAAAGTTAATGGTATAATTAACTGATGGTTATGTAAATGTAAATGTAGTTGTAGGCATAATTAGAGGGAAGTTGTGAATAGTAATTCTGTTGAATATTGGGCAGATAAGGCTAAACCCTGAGGAAAAAGACATTTGACTCTTCGATATCTGCTATGACTACTATAAATACATCACTAGCTCGTGATCTTTCAATGCTACAAAGGTAGCATACTTTATATCTACTTAATTTATTGTGTAAGGGCCAAGTTTGTGTGTTTCTTGCGTCGTGGTCTTTCAATGCTAGAAAGGCACGTAGCATAATATCTACTATATATAAATGTATCTTCTGTAAGAGCAACTTCTTAATTATCTAAGAATTCGGATACCATGGACGAGAATGGTACCTCAAATAATGCACCCAAGAACAAGTGGAAACTGCCACTCTTAGTTTTCTTCAAAGATGCAAGGTACATATAGGTATATACGTTATTATTTCATAAGTGTTTGTTTGGGGAAGTAGTGTAATGCATGCTGACAAAAAATATATAACATGATATATTATACCAAATACTAATACTTAGTTCAATTAATGTGAATGTAGACTTGTTTTCAAGATGGATTCCCTTGCTAAGGAGATACTAGGGATTGCATTCCCCGCTGCACTTGCTGTTACTGCTGATCCCATTGCTTCTCTGATAGACACAGCATTTATAGGCCACTTGGGTACTTTTCCTTGTCATAAAAATTCTCACAATTAATCGGTCCTGCAAACTGAGTGATATATACTAGTTGCAAGCTCTACTTGTCATAAACCGAGTTGTAACAAGAATCATTATAGCACTCTTGCTTTTAATGATAACCTTTTATTTTTCATTTTGTGTTTAGGGCCCGTGGTACTTGCTGCAGCAGGAGTTTCTATTGCTTTGTTTAACCAAGCTTCAACGATTACCATATTCCCTCTGGTCAGTATTACAACTTCCTTTGTGGCTGAAGAAGACACTATTGACAAAATCAATACCTCAGCAGCGGAAAAGCAGATTGCTGAAAACGTTATGGCCAACTCGAACGAAGTAATACCCGATGATCTAGAAAAAGTTGTTTCCAAAGAGAGTACTCAGACTCCAACAGAATCTTTGGCTGCAAGTGCTGACACAAACGAGCTCATGGCAACAAGTTTTGTAACTCAGAATATGGAAAGAGATTGTATCTTACAAAATGAGATAAATAATGGAGATGGTACTTACTAATACCGAACACCAAAAAAATTAGGTTAAACAGAAAATTATAATTAAAAATAAAAACTGCATGTTCTCATTCACAATTATCAAAATAATTTGTTTTTTCAACAATCCTTAATTGGTCTCGAACATTTTTTCTTTATATAGTGTAATTAAACTCAAAAATATAAATTAAAAAAATGTCACTGAAAATAAAAAGTAAATGCCTGAAAACTCATGGAAATAATTCCGAAACCTGACATTTTAATTCAATAACAAATGATTTCCTTATCAGATGCCGATACAAATATATGCAAGTCTGGTAGTAGTAGTAATAAGAGAGTGTCAATAGCAGGAAAGAAGAAGCGACACATTGCTTCAGCATCGACAGCACTACTTTTTGGTACAATACTTGGCCTCCTTCAAGCTGCAACCCTTATATTCGCAGCCAAACCTCTATTAGGTGCGATGGGTCTGAAACCTGTAGGTATCTTCATCATCAAGAGTATATGTTACATATCTTACTTCAATATATATATATATATATATATATATATATATATATATATATATAGAATACATTTGTCTAAGCTTTTACTTAGTGGAGCTATTTGTCCTTTGTGTAGGGTTCTCCTATGCTAATCCCTGCTGTAAAGTACTTGAGATTGAGATCCTTAGGTGCTCCTGCAATGCTTCTCTCCGTTGCCATTCAAGGAATCTTTCGAGGGTTCAAGGACACAACAACTCCTTTATATGTCATTGGTAAGTTCAAATGATCAATTGTCTTGGAATAGATCAGCCTAATTAGAGAGATACAATCTGAGAGCATAAAAAAAAGGCATAAATTTAATCTTGCAAGTCAAATTTAGTGGAAAAATGTTAATTTCAACTGCTTCAACAAATGATATAAAAATATAAAATTACAAGTCATGGATTTGATCATTGTCGTTCTATATTATTAATAAATAATTAAATATTTTAACTTGTTGATGTGATTGATTTACAACATACCGAGAAAAGAAGAAACTACATACGATAATTAAGATGGAGATCTTTTCATTTGTTTTCAAATTATTTAAAATTTCCACTAACTTGGTTCATTTGTGAATATGGTTTTATTTAGTTTCCGGATATGCATTGAATGTGGCTTTGGATCCAATACTTATTTTTTACTGCAAATTGGGCATTAGAGGTGCTGCCATTTCGCACGTGCTTTCCCAGTAAGTCTTACTTTGTTCTCTCCTAATGATGTTCAAACATTTTTGTTCGCAAAAATTCAACTTACAAAAATGGTGATCCTAATTTTAGGTACACGATGGCGTTGGCTCTCTTGGTGATATTAATGAAAAAAGTGTATCTCCTACCTCCAAGCATTAAGGATTTACAGATTTTCAAGTTTCTTAAAAACGGTATATATGTAGTGGAGAGCATTTAACACAGCATATCGGTTTTAGAGTCTAGATTATTATTGAAATCTCACTCTCCTTTTTATAAAATAAAAACTAGAAAAGAGTGATAAAACTAGTCTTCTAGACTGTACTCAAATAGCAGCATACTAATCAAATATATGTTAATCACATAATAAGCTAGCATTTACTTAAGTTGGAATTTGTTTTCAATTTCAATAGGAGGTCTTTTGTTCGCGAGAGTAGTAGCAGTGACATTCTGTGTCACCTTAGCAGCATCATTGGCAGCAAAGCTAGGCTCAATTCCTATGGCTGCATTTCAAACCTGCCTACAGGTCTGGATGACAACATCTCTTATTGTTGATGGTTTGGCTGTTGCAGTTCAGGTACGAAAAACATTTTTTCTTGGAACTGTGATGTACCTTATACATTTAACTTCTCAAACTCTTTCTAAAAATTCACATCATGAGTATTATTACATGGCTCACACAGACTATTCTAGCTAGTTCCTTTGCTGAGAAAGACTATAACAAGGTGGTTGCTGCTGCAACAAGGACACTGCATATGGGTTTTGTTTTAGGAGTGGGGCTATCTCTTGTTGGAGTTGGATTGTACTTTGGAGCTGGACTCTTCTCCAAAAGTGTTCTTGTTGTGCACATTATCAGAATAGGCGTCCCGGTATGTTCCTTGTAAAACAATGTATTCAGTAATGTTTTTTCTGTGCGATTTTCTACTTATTTTGTTTATCTTACTAGTTTGTTGCAGCTACACAACCAATCAATTCATTAGCCTTCGTCTTAGATGGTGTGAACTATGGGGCCTCTGATTTTGCTTACTCTGCTTACTCCTTGGCAAGTTCGCATGCCTTTTTTTTTTTCTTTTTTCTTCTTCATCATGAGTCATGCATCTCTATGCAAATTTATTTAGTAATTTCCTATGCTCTTTGTTTCAGGTGATGGTATCATTAGCAACTATTGCTTCATTATTCCTTCTCTACGAGAGAAAAGGTTTCATTGGGATATGGATTGGACTAAGCATCTATATGATTCTTCGCATGATTGCTGGTGTATGGAGGTAAACTTTCCTCACGTTAAAAGCAAGCAACAACCATTACGTTACAATTTCTTAGCCAAATGTACTTCAAATTATTTATGGTTCTATTGCTTTCAAAGATTTCATAATCCTATATTCCAAGGTTGATAAGCATTTCAAGAACATGTTTGAATGGGCTTTTTTTTTTCTTTTCTTCAAAAGCTGTTTTTTTAAAGAAAAAAAAAAGTATTTTTCGAAAAAAATCTGTTTGGATGTCAAAAAAAGCAGAAGTCATACAAAAAAGTTAAAAAACCTACTTTTTTTCGAAAGGTAAAAATTGTAGTTTTTAAAAAAAACAAAAGTCAAAAGTCAAATATTTTTTTCAAAAATCAAATATTTTTTTTAAAAATCTAAATAGTTGTAACTTAGAAAGTACTTTGGAAGTGATAAAAAAAAACTTTCTTAAAAAGTAAATACAAATGGGCTCTAAATGCATTTGCAGGATGGGAACAGGAACAGGACCTTGGCATTTTATCAGAGGCCGCTCATTGTCTCGATGATGTCTAACAAAGAAAATTTCATTGTTGGGCACATGTTATGTATCACTTTTAACCATTTAGGATAAGTTCTCTTATTGTAGACATGACTATTTCTCAGTTCTGTTGTTATAATCTTATATCTTTGACTGCTCATTTACACGCGCAAGTCCTACATATGTTCGTATTATAGTAATCTCTCTCTCTCCCCCCGCCTCCTCTCTCCTATGATCCTCTATTTATTGTGATTTTACTGTATTTGAAATATTCTTCTTGCTAGCTATTGCGTGCACGAAAGCTCTCAGTATATCAATTATCAAGTTAGACGTAATTTATATTTTTGAAATATATGAAAATAAAAAATATTTATATTTCTTCACCCAATTGGTCATTCAAATACTACGAATAGATTACATTTATAATTTTTTTTTACGAACGTTACAAATTACACTATGTACTATTTGAAGTACAGTAAATTATTTTTAAGAGTATATATCGTAATTTGTAAAAATTTATAAATAAAAAATTTGTAAAATATTAATATCTTACGTGTCACCGTATTTTACTTATGAAGGAGTAAAGTAATAACACAAAAAGCAACTAGCTAGCCTAGTGGTGACAGGTATAGATAGTTGTGTTAAATGACGTGTGTTCTAGTTCTTTTGTCATTCATTCCAAAAACTAAAATAATAATAAGACAAAATGACTAAGGCCAATTTGGATGAACTTATGAAAAAAAAGGGACAAAAAAGACTTTTTATGTCGTGTTTTTTATAAAAGTTAAAATTATTTAAATTTTAAAAAAAAATATTTAAATTTTAACTTCTACTTTTTTTAGAAATTAAATTTTTAGCTTCGAAAAAAAAGATTTTTAATTTTTTTTTTTTTGTGACTTCTATTTTTTATTTTTTTTAAATAAACATATAAACAGATTTTGGAGTAAGAAAAAGCGGTTTTTGGAGAAGCCCGTCTAAACATGCCCTAATTTGATAACTGTTTTATATCTTCGAAATACTAATTTGTGAAAAAGTAATCTTTAAAAAAATAATTTGATGACACACTAATATTTGATGTATTAATTTGGTGATTGACGTCTTTGAATGACCTATTAATATAAATATAAATTGGGTGATTGCGAATTAATAATTATTTAATGAATTTGATTTGAAAAATGATAACCGTTGATTGACAGAAATCCACGGTTAAGATGTGATCGTAACATTGTGCGTAACATTATTTGTGTGTCACAATATCCTATCTCTATTTTAAATAATATACATTTTATGATGATAATTTTCATTTAATAAATATTGTGTCAGAGAATTAAAAAAAAAGTGTAAATACTATTTTTGGTTCTCAGCAAATTTTACGATGTACGCTTTAGTCCCTAGCAAATAAAAAGGTCCATCGTGTTCCTAATAAATTCAAAATGGATCCATTTTAGTTCTTTTAGGGACTAATATGAGTCTTTTTTTAATTTGTGAGGGACCACGATTTCAACTAAATACGTCCATTTTAAATTTCTTACGGATCACAATGGACTTTTTTATATGTTAGGGACTAAAAGGACATCGTGAAATTTGCTGAGGACCAAAAATGTATTTACTCAAAAAAAAATTGTTTACTAATTCTGCCAATTTGTAGTCTGCCAAAGAGAGTGGGATGATTCCATCGACGAAGCCCATGGCCACGGTTCCCACTAATTTCAACATAGCCGCCACCGTAACGCCAGATTTTCCGGCAGTAGCATTGGCTGGACGAGAATACATACACCGCAAATCGACGGCGAGGATGGTTATGGGATCGAGGCGATGAGAAAGAAACTCACGCTTGATCTTAAGACAGTGGCGGAAAGGATGAGAAACGCAATTTACGAAATAAATTGGAAGTTTATTTAGAAAAATGGGTTAAGTCATGATCCATATGGGGTGCAGTATAAAGCTCGATTAATTAGTAATCCTTTTAATTTAGACTTGGATATTTGTAAATTGATTAGTGTGGGTAATAGTGTAGGCCTAAGTCATATGCCCATGATTGGAAGGGGACTATAGTTAATAAGTTGGCTAGTTGGCTAGGTCCCCTCTGCATTCACAGTGTGTTAGAAAACCGTCACTCCACAACTTGCCCCATCGACGGTTGTAATCAGGGAGTGGTGTGAATTAAGATCCTAGTCTTTCCACTGCAGGAGCATCAGATTAAAGAAGAAGTCTTCAACAAGTAAGCTTAAAATTTTTGGTGTTTTAATGTCATATAATCCTATTTTATAAAATTTCTTACACGATGCAGATAGGTTAAAAGATGCGTTGGTAAAAAAACCTAGAGGAGAAGGAGCAAGAACAACGGCCTGTGTTACCTTGGAATCTGAGGAAGAGGCGAGCAGAGTGTAAAGCTGCCGAGTTGAGTATTCATAATGATGATGATGATGATCATGATGAGAATAAACGCAATTGCTCCTCGGCGGTGAAGTTTCTGAAATTAAAAGGTAATTCAGATATGGCGCAAAGGGTAAGTTAACCGTAGAGTTGTCGGAGAAGGAGGTTGCGGAAGATTTTATGGAGATATTGGGTCGTCTGCCACCACAGAGGCCCATCAAGAGGCCAAGAGTCGTGTGCAGAAGAATTTAGATGTTAGTTGCCTTTGCCTTTTGAATTTTGATTATTTCTTTATTTTTTAACTGTGAATCTTTTTTTTTTTTTTAAAGAGTGTGATTTGATTTTTGTGCAGACCCTCTTCCCTGGTTTATGCTTAACAAATGTTACAGCTGATAAATATAAGGTCATTGAAGCCAAGAAGAATGGAAAGGTGCATCACTCTAGGAAACATAAGGGTAGGAAAAGGAAGGGCTAGGGCAAGGAGGGGTCTCTTTGATTACGATTTCACCCAGGATTTTGATGGATGAATAAATGGAATTATTTAGTAATGAAATGGAATTATTTAGTAATGAAATGAAATTATTTTAGGAATTAAATGGAATTATATTATACTTCGATTTCTGTACCCCACTTTTTTTTTTTGTAATAGTGGGACCCACCTATTTTCTCTCTACAATATAAGATAATTATTTTACGTTAAATGAGACTAATAAAACCCTTAAATATATACCCTGTATCTGTTGACTGTTGTAGTGCACAACTGTAACCTCTGATAATCACAAATACCTGAAAGTATAGCTAGTGCGATATTTTCTATATTTAAGATTAACTTTAAGAACTTATAATAAATAATGAAAATTACATTAAGATAGTTCTATTTAAAATGATCCCTATATTAAGATTGATATAATTAAGAAAGTTATGGGATCCATATTTTTTCTTTATTTTTCTTCTCTTTTCATGATCCCGTATAGGTCTCATATACTTTTATTTGTATATAAGAGATAATTTTATCATCTACAACATGAAAAATATTAAACTTAAAAAATAAACATGATTATGTGATAAAAAAGACTTCATAGAAATTTACAATTCAACAAAAACTGTGATACTTTAGACAAAAAAAAATAACAGTTTTGAAAAATTCAAACAAATTTATGAGCTGATTAGGTTTGACATATTTAAGAAATAGAAAAAATTGTAGAGTTTATGAATCAAGTAAAAGAAATTTATAAAAAGTTGAGATAAATGTGCGTTTTATCACATTGTATTGATATATAGGGATATAAATGAGTCAGAAAACCTATCAAATGTTATGGCCTGGTCTATATAAGGCTGTAGGGGTGTTCGCGGTCTGGATTGGATCGGCTTTGGAAACAAAATTCATCTGATCCAATCCCTTCGGTTTGATCGTGTAATCATCCATTCGGTTTAGATTTTTTTTCAAATCTGATCCGATCCAATCCAATTTTTTTCGGTTTGGATTGGATCGGTTTTCGGTTTTTTGAATATCCTAAAATTAGTTTCATGATTATTGTGCAAATAACATCTTTTGTATATATTGGATTTGTAAAAAAAAAAAATTGAAATACAAAAATATCAGTAAACAATACTATAGTTGATGAGACATGACCAAGTTTTTTCTTGAGTTTAGTTGATGAGTTAATGGGTCTTGGGTTTAGAAATTTTTGGGCAATGATTGGAAAAAGGACCAAGTAGGTAGAGGAGAATTAATATATTGGATCGGTTTGGATTGGATCGGTTTTCATCAACCCATCCGAAAACCGATCCAATCCAATTAAAATTTGCGGTTATTTTTCGGTTTTCGATTTTTCGGTTTTCGATTTTTCGGTTCGGTTTTCGCGGTTTGAATCGGTTTGGATCGGTTGATGAACATCCCTATAAGGCTGAGTCTGACCTATTATATCTAGTAAAATAGAACAAGGTCAAGCCTTTAATAAGGCCTTTTTAAAAAGCAGGTCACATGCTTTCTTTTACAATACTCAGCTTATAAGCCTACAGAATGACATATATTATATTATTTATTTTAAATAAAATCATTATTTTAATGATTTTAAATAATAAAATAATATTATTTTAATTTTTTTTAGGCTTAAATAGGCTAACATGCCTAGTTCAAGCTTTCATTTTTTAAATATAAGTCAAATCGGACTTATAATTCAAGCCTACACAATGCTAATAGATCAGGCCTAAAGTATTTTATACAAATCTAACATATTTAAGCCTAAGCCTGATCCGGCCCCATCCATTAGCAACCTTATAATGATATAAATCCTATAACATGAGAGACATTAAACTTATTATAATTTAAAAAATTGTTTATCATTTTAAATCACATAACATTTGTCTAAGTTTAGATGAAAGATGTTGTTTTAATATATATTTCATGATTTTTTATATCCTCTCTCCCGTAAAATTAAAAAGAGAGGGAAAATGAAGAGAGCGAAAGTAAAAAACCAATTATTCACCTACAAGATGTTATTGTATCCAAATAACACAAAAATATATCATTTAAAATGACAAGTATATTTTTTATTATAATTTTGATTGTCTTCTTATTTCATTATAAGGGTTGTACTTTAACTTTTAAAAAAAAAAAGAAATATGTGTTTAATTAATGGAAAATAATTT